TCTGCTTTCAAGTCTTTGCTGTTCCTTTTTTATTTTTGGCTTTTATTTTATTTCATTTTCTGCCATCTTTTTATCTGTTTGCCGTTGATTGTTTTTGTTGCAAGTTTACCAAATTTATTGCTTTGAGCTGGTAAATTTATTGCCTTTTTTCTACAGGCTTTTGTTGTCGCATTTCAAGTTCAGCTGCTTTATTTGCTGTGACTATTTGTTTACTATTTCTTTGCTTGCTTTTTGCAATTTAGTTTTTTTCTTTTTTTCGTTATTTCGTTGTTTACTCACGCTTCACCAATTCTGAGTTGGTTGGTACTGCTTTGGCGAGGTTTGAAAGATTTCTGCGTAAATTTATGCGAAAATGTATATTGCTTAAAGGTCATATCAACCGTGTGAGCTACTTACATTAAGTGTATCATATGCTATAAGTTTGAAAGAAATCTGTCGAGGGATAGCCGAGTTCGTTTAGGTGAAATATAAGTTTATATTGGGCTGATACTAAGATTTACATATTTCTTCAGATTTGTGTGTACGCAAAACGTTATGTGCAACTATATTAAAGCATATTGGGTTCTAGGAAAAGCATATTAAAAGTAGTTCATAGTCTATAGGAACATAGGAAGTAACTGTAAGTAAAAAAAAAAATCTTTTAGGCTGCTTAATCATTGTACTTTTCAAGTATTTTTGACCTTCAATTGCCTACCTCTTATCTAACCTCCTAATTTGTGTTGCCCTCAAATTCTGTGATCTCTTCTTATTTACAAACAACCCTTTCAACCCAAATTTGTTTTCATATTTTGACAGCTGAGCTGACAAAAATGTTTTAAAGTCGATTCACTCACTCAAACTTTATGACACATCAAAGAGATCATCTAAATACTCTTCGTTTTTAGCCTGCTTCATCTGACCTCTCCACCAGCGCAAAACTCTGTGAAATGTCGAACGTATAAGCAACAGACCTTCAAAATACCTAAACAATCCATGTAATCTAACCTAATTTTGTTTAACAATACAATAAGGGGGGAAAAGCAATTGCAAGTGAAAGGTAAGAGCAACACAGTATAAACGTGTATTGAAGAGTGAAAGGGATGTACGATAATAAAAAGGTAGACGAAAGAAGGTATCGGAAACGGGACACACTTCAAACTAATCAGTTTAGCTAACTGTAACAACGAGCGTTTTTGTGTTGCCAGCAGCCAGATTGACAATGCTAAGCTGAAGCCTTTTTTGTTTGGCTGATGACTGCCTGTTGGTTGGTTTGTCATAAGTCCTTCATTCTATTATTATTATTTTTTTGCCTTCATTTTGAAATTCAACGAAAAATCCGACTTGTCAAATTTGGCTGTCAAAGAAGAAAAGCTGATTGCTTTCACTTGGATGGCATTACTATTTTTCGGTCGATGCATACACTAAGTATTGTATATGTGATTATAATAAGAAGCAGAGTGGAGAGGAGAATGAAGAAAGAATTGTTAAAAAAGGTCAATGTGAAGCTGAGACGTACTACATTGTATAAATGAGTAAAGGAAAGTGGAAACGAGTTGTTGATTGTGCAGGAAAATCCTATCATTCATATATTTTTCACCACCTCGTCCTCGCGACCCTCTCCTCTTCGCCTAATACAGCAGGCAGGTTGGATGTCAGACTATCTCTTTACGTCTACATGAGGCCCACAGCAGGTTAAATTCAATTTTCCAAGACGCCAATTGAACGAAATTACAAAAGGCTGCAGAGAGGAGAAGCAGCAGAAGAAGAAGAATGCTGAAGCAGCAGAGAAAATGAAAAAATGTGAGGCATACGAGTAAGAAAAGGAAAAGGCGGCGCGCTGAACGCTTTAATTGCAATCTTTTTGTGCAGATTTGCGTGCTGAGAATTCATACCCTGCACATATTATATATAAGTTGGATAATGAATGGGCGACTTTTTCTTTTTTTCTTTTTCTTTGCTTCAATTGAAGAAAATTTGTGTCCTTAAGGCTTTTTGGCAAACGAGCCGGCGCGCAGTATATGCACACTTTCTGTGAGGTATGAGTCTTTAGCGCGAGAAAACTCATCAAGTTAAGCAGCTTCATCAGAGAAATCGACTCAATGTGAATTGCTGAAGGATGAAGAACAACTTAATCTTTTTTCTTTCCTTTTTTTTAAGGAAAATGGAAATTCGAGCCGTCATGCCGTAGAATCAGCTGTGTGTTAAGAGGAAGAAGGAAAGAAGAGGAGGAGTTGGTATTTTTATGAACTCGGTTTCACAAATTTGTCAATGCTGCGCAGGAGAAGGAGTTATGAAAGGCTTGCCGCTGGCGATTTTTAGCTCTCTTACAAGATTTTGCGTCTTAAGCAAGCACTCAGGCTTGGATGACAAAAGGACGGAGTGAAACGAAAAAGTTGTGCGACATTTAAAATTATAGTGAAAATATAAAGGAAGGCGAGCGGACATAGAGTGCATGATTAAAGGATGGCGAGGACGTGAAAATAAAATAAACTAATGAAAAGAAGAATAGAGAAGAATAGAGAATGAGGTAAATTCAAATGTATGCAATATAGACTCTCATAATAATATTGAATGAGGTGAGAAAGAAAACTAAAAAATCTTAGTACTTTAAAGATAACAAAAACCAAAAATATTAATTAAAAGAAATAAAGAGAAAAAATTTATTGAAGGAGGATATATATTCTTATATATTTAACTTATGAACGTAAAACTTAGCCGCAGAAACTATGGCTGGAATGGCGTAGAAATTCTCACTGACAAGGCATATGCTGGGTATCCCCTTTCAATTCAATCTCTTGCAACAATGCGATATCCAATCAACACATTTCACCATCGCTGCTGCAACTACATTTTATATTTCTACTTTATTAATAGGTAAATAATGAAATATTTGACTTTTTTCGAGGTTGCGCCCCACTGTATGACAACAGTTTCTTAGCGGACATATTATCCCACGCCGTTGAGACTCGCTAGGATACAGTCGTCTAATAACGGTATATTTATTTTTTTATTAATGTGTTTGTGCACTCATTGTCGCCACATAATGAGCTCGTCTCGTGATGTGTGTGTTTTTTTTTTAATTTCAAATTTTGGTCCTTTTTGATGAACGCAAAAAATTCAGCCAAGTGGAAAAATCACAATTCAAAATTCAACAACAATAATGTGTTCGAAAGAAAACTGAAAATTTTTGGGTTAGCGAAGGAACACCTAAACTTTATTAATACATACATATATACGAGTGGGTAGAGCTCAGTTGGCTAATTCTTTCAATCGAGCAAAAATTTTACGTTAAACAAAAAAAAATAAATAATTTTCAGCAGCATCAACGAGTTTTAGCCAGTCTTCTGGCGCTTCATTTGGACGTTGAGCGGCTTAAGTGTTAAATTTATTTTGATTTTTTCATCTTTCGTCCACATTTTTGCTGTGCTTTTGGTTAGGGGCGGCGGCGTACGAGTTCAAAATTTACTGAATTGGAAGCGATTTTTGATTCTAAGCTCGCCAACAGTCATTATTTCATTCATTTCACTCTTGATATTCTTCATCATCATCGTCATGCGCTCATCACTCAACCTGCTTTACTTCATCATACGCATTATTATTTTCTTTATTTTACCCGCTTACTCATCATGGCTTTAGTCTTTCGATTGTTAGCACTTTTCAAGGGTGTGTTGCTTGTGGCACGCGGTTTCAGTTTGCAACATTCTATTACAGGGTTGCTTTAAGCGGTATTCTAGTTGCATATACGTATGTATGTATATATTTATTTTTTAATTTATGCAAAATGCAAAATTTGTACAAAAGTGAGATAAGCATAAATTCTCAGATTTTCGGCTAATTTTCAATATTCTTCTTTCCAGCATTTTCGCCTCTTATTGAAGGTTAGGGAGTCAGCGAGTTGTCTGATGACTTTTTAATTAAGCGCAAAGCTGGTACTGGTGGTATTAGCTGTCCTAATTGTAGTGGTGGTGGTGTTGTGTTATAGGTAGAAGGGGTGCGAAGGTTTAGGATTTGAGGTTTGGCTTGTTTGGCCAGAGGTTGGTTTTGATTTGTGTGCAAATGCTTGGATGTAGGAAATATTGAATATGTGTAAATTATGAATTGTTGATGAATAAATTATAATTTTGGGTAGTAAATATGATCAATGTACTGTATCTGACTCATTTGAATGTGAGTTTGATAAATATCGACTACCAAATGGTGAATAAAAGATTTAATCAATTTTTTGAATTCTATCTAAATTTTACCTAAAAATTGTGACTATTCGGTGTAACTATTTTTACAATAATAATTATTATTTTTAATTATTATTTTTTTTTTATATGGTCGATATTATATTTCTTCATCCACCTTCCATATATTATTTTGTTTTTGTTTTTGAAAGAAATTAAATAAAAAACATTCTCTATAATAAATTAATATTGAAAAAAAATGTGAAACTTCAGAAATTGATCTCGAAATTGAACTTTTTGGTTTAATTAATTAATTTCATGTTCTTCGAATTTAAATCTTATCCACATTTTATCTCAACACTTTTCTCCCAAATTTTTCTAATTTTCATTCAATTTCCTCTAACTTCTTAAATTACTTTGCCATGACCTACAAACATTGACTCAGCTGCCTTTTTCATATTTTCATGCCACATTGCATACAGTCGTTATGCGTATCATGTGACAACTGTGCAACACAGCTGTTTGTGGCAAGTCTCGTATTGAAATGCAGCAATTCTTTAGTGGAGGTGGAAAATATGAAATTTAATATTAATACACTGTGGTTAGGGAGAGCTGTGAGAAGCGAACATTTGACTAAATAAGAATGGGTTACCAACCTTGTCAAATATTGAAAATAAGAAATTTCGGCAATAAATTAATTTAAAAGAAAATAATGACTATGCATGAGGGCTGGTACATTTTTTTTTTAATTTTGAAATTTTGAAATTTCGAAATTTTTCCAATGATTGAATAAAGAAAAGATAACAATAATTTCATTCCTGTTTCATTATACAACCCAATTCTTTTTTTTTATTTTTACCGTCATTTTTAATTTAATTGAATTCAAAATTATTGCTCTTTAAAACGCGTAGAAAAAATCACTGAAAGTTTTGCCTAAAGACCCATATAAAAAATTACGAAAATAGGTAAAAAATACATTGCATTAGAAATTGTATTTTCAATAATTAAATTTAAAAAATTCCCAAGGACAAGGGAATAGCGTAGAAAATGCTTTATTCATTGAGGGCCGCACGCATAAATGTTTAAATAAACTGAAGCGAACTGAAAATGTAAATATATGCATTGCCTACCGTAAATAGATTTGTATGGAAATTTTATGTACATACATACATACATGTGTATATGAGTATGTACGGGCGTTTAAGTGTATAAATTTCTGTTGGTAGAATAATTTTTGTTAAATATTTAGTAATTCAATAAACTTGTAAAATATTTTGATTTTCCAACGAAACTGTGTAACAATTCAATTTAAAATGTTATATTGAATATGAAAAAAAAAACAAGAAATAAGAGAAAGTGAAAAGAGAAACTGAGATTTGGCATATCAAAAATGTATGGCAAATAATTGGTTGCAAATAAAAGTAAATAAAATCAATAAAATATGAATGGTTGAAAGAACTGAATAAAATATTTGGAAAACTTTGATTTTTTACATAAAAACTGTTGTATTTTACATTAATTTAAAGAGTTAGATTCTTTTTATATACATTTTATGAAAAAATATTTAATTGAGAATAGAAATATTTTTTAAAGATTAATTCTATAAATTTGAGCACTAAGTTTTAAATTAATATTAAATATTATTTGGACACTTCAATTTTTTTTTTAGTTTAAAAAATACGTAAAAATTATTAAAAATCGTTAGGAATATAAAAAATTTAATTATTAATTTATATAGGTAAGAAGTAAGATGACACACTAAGATTTATTTACTACACACTAATCATTCAAGATTTCGGATGTCTATATTTTAATTGGAATATTATAGTGCTTTCAATTGAGACCGCTAGTTCAATAAATCGTTTTTAACACTTTTAAGTAAAAAAAATTATTAAAATTTGGTTGGAAATCATTTTTTTAAATTATTTCCATGGAAAGGTTTTTCTTTAGAAAAAAATGCAAAGCGTTTATTCTTTAAAATTGTGAATGAGCAAATAGATGAGAAAAATATTGTTTTATGCTTTCTAGTTACATTTTCATTACTATTACTATTACAATAAAAATGTGTAAAGAATATTTAATATTTATTTAAAATGTTTAAAACATTAGGCAAACTCTTTCTTTAAATTTTGGTAATCATTAACATAAAAGTTTCTTTATTCATATTTTTTAATTGCCCCAAAAATTTCTAAATCTCAAAAACCCTTTTAATTCTAGCTCATTAATTTACCGATCTATTCTGATATCATAATTCATTAAACTATATTTTTTATATTTATAATAACATTTTAACTTATTTTCAAAAGTTTAAAAATCTTTAAAATTAAAATTTTTTAAACACTTCAAAAATTTCTATATCACAAAAATTAGGAAAATTTTCAAATCGTTTTCACTTCCTCAATGAAAATTTTAAAACTCTTGGTCTACCAAGCCTTACAAATTACCACACATTATCACACAGAAATATTATAAGTACTGATTTGTGGTGCCAACACACATGCACATACACACCAACACACTTAAATGGCGAACAAAAGCATTTATAAGTGAACAAAGAGTAATAACCAACTGAGCAAAAACCAAAACTCAAAAAAAAAAAAAATAAATAAATTGGGAAATAAATAAATACAAATGAAACAAAAGGCCACTTGAAGCACACTAAAGATTGATACGCAAAAAAGGACAACAATGAATCAACGAACGAACGGTGCAGAAGGAGACAGAGTTCGTAGCAGAGGTGCTGGCAGACAGGTTGGCTTTTCAGACACGTACAGAGTAAAGTGCATAAAATGGTAATAGAGAAAAATACAAATAATATTTCAGGACTCAAATATGAAATAGTGTGTATGTATGTGTGTGTTTGTACATACATGTGCATATGTGCTTGTCTCAGCATTCATGTGCCCGCCACAACAGGCCAATTAAGTGAAGAGGTCAACACTATGTAACAACAACAACGAAGAGTAGCAGGCGTCGGACGCTACTGTTTTTGTTATGCTATTGTTGTTGTGGTATCAACGACATCAACACTGATTAAAACTATACTTGGCTATAGTACGTACATACATATATATACATGAAACATCAATAGTTGGTCTCAGTTGTATCAGTGACTGAGAGTGAATCTCCTGCAGACAGTCTTGTCTACCTGCCTTTGTATTGTTTGCGTGTGCGCGTGTGTGTGTGCATGTTTTTATGTTGGAACGTGTTTCATTAGACACTATCGCTACGTGCGCCTGTTAGTTGCAGACTCAAAAATCAGAACCAAATGAATAAAGTAGTGCAGAAGGTAGATCAAAAAAAAAGTGGAAAAAATTTAAATTTTGAAAGAAAATGAAAATAATAGTAGAAGGCTGGAAAAAGGAGAAATCTGACGGAAAGGATAGTTGGGATAGAGAGAAAAATGTTTTTTGCAGAAAGTTGTAAAAATTGTCATATTGAGAAAATTTATGAAAAATTAGCAATTTATAAATGAAAACATAATTTGTAATAAAAAAAATTTTGAGAGGTACAAGTTTAAAATAAAATAAAAGTTTTGAAAACAAAAAAAAATTTTGAAGGTATAAAATGTTTGAAAATATAAATTAAAAAATATATATATGAAAATAATAGAATTAAAAAAAAGAAAGTTTTTAAATATAAAATTTTTTAAAAATTAAAATATTTAAAGATTTTAGAACTTTAATAATTAGTTTGAGTCAAATTATTTCTCGCTGCATGAAAAATGCGCTCAACATACACCGTTTTATTTTTTTTTATTCATTTTCTGCACGCCAACAGGGCAGCAAGCAAAATGCGAAAAAAATCCCAGCGATTGCCATAAAACGAGGAGAAACAAAAAATCTCGCCGAAAAGTATAAAATTATATTCCAAAATTTCAAATATAGAAATATTTTAAGGACTCATCCTTCGCCAAAACTTGCCTGGTCTGCCGTGTGTGTTCCGTTGTGCCGTTGACATACCGCCGCTACTGTTCGCTGCTGCTGCTGCTGCTGCTGCCAATTCACCAGCGCGATGTGGCAAATGTTGATATTCATAATCGTATGGTGATTGTTGTTGCTGTTGCATTTGTTGTTGTTGCAATTGTAAATTTTGTTGATTTTGATGTTGCAACGTATTCTGATGTGAATGTGCAGATGTGGGATTGTGCCGTAAACTCATCATGCCGCCAACAGCGGCACCAATAACGCCTGTCCCACCACCAACACCACTACCACCACCACCTCCGCCACCGCCGCCGCCGCTCCCGGCGCGTGTATCCACATCCCGACAATCTAGTGTCGTTTCATATTCATACGGATTCATAGTGGTGGACTCCAACGGGCATTCGTCGTCGTCAGTGTCGGTGCCACCGTCGTAGATGTTCTCGGTGTGACGGTATGCGTGATGATTTTGCTTTGAGAACTTAATTTTGATGGCTTTTTATGTAAACAGCGGGACGAAGAAGAAGTAGAAGTAGTAGTAGTTGTTGTTGCTAGTGTAGAAAATTTTGATGTTGTTGAGTTTACTTCAAAATTTTTATTTTATAATTTTATGGTGGACGTTGTGTGATGAATGGTTTGTGTGGGTGGCTGGTTTGTTGCAGTTTTCCTTAGCAATTCTTCTATTTAAATACGTTTGTTGTTGCTTAGGAAAATTTGATTATTCTTAAGCATTGTTGAGGGCACATTTTATTTATTTTTTTTTTTAATTTTTATTTTCGTTGCTTTAAATTCTATATTTTCTCACTTTTGTTTTATTGTGCACTGTTATTTCTTTTTTTTTCTTAATTTTTTAACATTTTCTTAAAATTGCTCTTCTTCGTTGATTTTGTGTTTTTCGACATCACAGCAGTTTTGGAAAATCACGGAATTAACTGTTTTGCAAAAATTATTAATTTTTGATTTCGTTTAATATATTTTTATACATTTTAAAAGCTTTCACAAATTTTCTGTAGTAAAGGGAATGAGCTATTATATTTTAGTAATACTGAAAAGTTTGCTAAACATTTAATCTACAAAATCTTTAGATATTACAAATTTTAATTTTTCGAAATTTTAAAACTTGAATTAAAATTTTTTGTTTCTTTTGTCTTTTTTAGGCTTCTGGATATTATAATATAGTAGTATTGATAATTTTGGCGCAGTTTTGTTTTAATAAGGTCCCCTCGCCACTTTCGTAGGAATTTTATTTTCGGATTGCGAAATAAAGATGAGAGATTTTTTGATTTGATGAAAGAATTTATTCAAATATTTGAAGTAATTAATTTTTATGTTTTAGATATGCAAATTATAAGTCAAAAGCTCTAATTTTAAATATTAAAATCATACTTAATTTTATTAAAACTTATTTAATTTTTTTTGATATTGAGATTGTTATAATTTAATTTTTATAAAGAAAAAAGTATTTTAAATGAGTTAATTTAGAAAGACCTTTTGAATTTAAATACTAACAAATTTTTTAAATTATTTTTTGGTGCATACGATTGTTATTTATTTTGAATCACCAAAAACAAAAACTTTAGTTTATGTAAGAATATTTCTTGGCCCCGAGTTTCGTGGAAAATTAAATTTTTGTGCTTTAAAATTTTGGATATATTTTTTATCTATTAATACCTGTAATAAAAAAATAACATTTGAAATTTCCAATTAATTCTTTTCTTGCAGTTTCTGGCCCTGTCATCGATTTCTTTGAAAACCTATGCTCAAATTTATTACTTAAAATATTTAATAATTTTTTACGATACTAAATTTTGGGTAATTTTTTTCTTTATTAAATTTTCAGCCGCTTTTTCAATATTTTTCCGTTAAATTAGCATTAATTTTACGCTGGTTTGCCTTCAAAATTTTTGCTTTATTCACTGTCGTATTTCCCTTTTCCTTTATTTTATTCACATCTTTTTTCTCTTTTCTTGCTCATATCCCTTGGGTTTGGTAATAAAATTTATTTAAAATGCCCCAAGTCCACTCTCGACAAATACATATTCAAGGTTTGCGCATAATATTTTATTTAATTTTCTCTACCAACTCTAGCCTTTGCTGCTATAATTTTCATTTTATAACCGCTTTGCATATGCTCTTTGCCGCCTTTTGGACGCTTGTGACGCATTAAAACAGTTTGTCCCGTTGACCACCTCAGTTATAAATTCATGTCTTACAAACGAGAGGCTTTTCCGCAGCCTTTTGTCGGTTTATGTGTTTTTTTTTTATTTGTTAAAAGTTTTCCTCTTCGGCCAAATTCTGTTTTGGTCATATTTCTTTGTTGTTTTGCCTCGTTTGTATTTTGCTGAGCTTTTAATATTAACTTCTGATTTTTCCCTTACTTTTTGGCACCAACTTTTCCTTCCCCTAGAGCGCCTTTCTTTGGCGTAAAGTTGTTTTACGCTATCAAAGTCTGAGCATTCTAAGTTTGGTAGCTCTTTTATCCACTTAAAGCCTATGATTTTTAATTTTTTATAGGCTTTATGGCTATTGATTCCGCCCTTCAGCTACTCGGCTGGTATTGTTTTTATTACAATTTTCCTGCTTTAAAAGGCTTTTATTGGCGATTTCGCTCTTCTGTGGGCAAAGTTTTGTTTTCCTACCTATATTTTTAGTTGAAGAGTGTGACGAGTGTAATAAAATGTAATTATTTAGTAATCCCAGAATTTGTTAAGCCATCTTTATACACTTTTTAACAGTTTTGTACATTTTTCATAAATAATTTTTAGATTTCTTGGACTTTCCACAATATTTTATAAGCATTTTTTAAATACTTTTTAATTTTTTGCTTCGAAAACTCACAAAATAAAATAATTTTTTTAATATTTCCTTCAACGAACCATTTTTCATACCAAAAACGTTAGCGTACACACCTTTTACCGTTAAACACTCCCATTAGACGATATGATAAACAAATAAACAAATCCGCAAAATCTCAGTAAACGCGTAGGTGGGATAAATCACAAAGTTTCGCCTTCGTTTGCATACACACCAGCAGCGTTTCGTTTATATGTGTGCGTGTGAGCGTGAGTATTTTCGCACTTTTTCCTTACTTTTTTGAGCGTTTACTTCACGACTACCGGCAGCAATAAACGTTGACTGGCCGCTTGCCGCACTGCCGCACAGCCGCAGCTACCACCGTGAGCGTTTAAAATATTTATTGTTGCCACTTTAGTATCGAAGATTTTTCTTACAAATAAATTTGTTTTCTTTTTCAGCACTTACACTTCAACGCACAGAATTTTCCCAAATCGCTTACAGCCACACTTCTCGCATCACTCACAGCACAGCGTGTTCGCAAGTGTTTGCACAAACATTGATTTTTTGGGCTGTAACGCTAAATTCAATTTTCAATGAACACCATTCACGCCGCAAACACTGCTTCTCCTCGTTACTTTATTTTCCTTAATAAAATTTTCAATTTTTTTCACGACTTAAGCATGGCGTTGGTATTTCGTTGATTTTGCTTCGTTTAACTTAATTTTCTTTTTGGCAGAACAATTTTACTTTTATCAATTTTTCCTCATTCAGCACACGCGCGTTTCTTGCCTGCTTTCGGCCTGTGTGTTGCACAAATTTAGGAAAAAATTTTCATATATTTCTATTTTGCTTCATCGTCGTCGTCGTTTGTGCAGCAGCACCGCACGATTTAACAACGCTATATTGCACGGCGTATATATACAAGCGTTTATTTCCGTCCGGTATCCGCACGTAATTTCCCAACGATTTCATTAGAGCGAGCGACCTTTAGAGACTGAATTTTAATGTGTATATTGCTGGTAAGAAACCAGGCTGGTAGATGGCAAGCCAGCAGCGGCAGTGGCAGCACAGAGCGTACGACTGAGCGCGCGAGACATTATACTTAATAAGGAGAGAGAGCGCGCGCTCACAGCTAACCGCACACGGCGGTGGTGCGAACGCGTCGCTGAGCGTAAATGTATACAACGATGCGCTCATGTGAGCAGCGATATTAACAGCGTAATGTTTATGCGTGAGTTTGCATTTTGTAGTTATTTAACGAAAGGTTGGCGGCGCAAAGGTAAGCGGAAGTGTAAGTTAGCCAGTCAGCAGCGCGCCCTTCTCGTCTGTAGGTGTGTAAACTGCATTGCTGTAAAAATATCCACGATACTCAGCGAAAGCGGGCACGCATAGCTTATGCAGAAATAGAGCGTTGACTATGTGATTTTACAAACTTGTGCCAACAAAGCTGAGTTTTCCGTCGCTCGTGATTCGTGTAAGCCACGCAGCGCTGCCGCGCGCCTGTAGGTATACTTCCGCTTTACCCACAAAAGTATATCTGCGTGCTGCAGCGCACGACGCGCTGCCTGTTTTTAGCCCCAGGCCAAAACCGATTTAGGCGCGCTCATTGTTTTCCAAAGTTCGCCCGAAATGCACGAGCACGCTTTGTGTGCGTGCAGAGTGCGCTCAGTGCGTATGCGCGTGCAATCGTACGCAAAATTTCTGCAAAAAATCTGCACCATATCCGTAGAGTGCTATACTCACGAGAAGTAGTAATTGTAATTTACTTAGCTGACGGTAGAGCCAGGCGTCAAGCGCAACGTCGCTGCCTGCATTGCTGTTGGGTCGTTTGTTGCCACAACAGCTTGTGCGGGTGGTCAACAATAGTGCGCATGTGCCGGTAAAACGAGTTTTGCTAGTTTTCTCTAAAGAAAATGCAGAGAGCTACAAATTCTGGTAGCGTACGCTCTGAGACGTAGCGCTGTTTCGCAAGTGAGCGCTCACACACCGTGCTCAGCGTTAGCGCTAGCTCTCTGTACGTATGATTATCGTCAAGTTTATCTGCACTTAGGTTTTTGTTTACTTTTGTATATTATTAAAATATTGTACATATGATATCTTAAAAATAAGCAATCAGCTTAACGAAGGTTTACATTTTCACTTGCTGTTACAATTGTATGTCAAATACAATTGCAGACTGTTATTTGAGCAGCACTGTGTTCTGTTAAGTTTCAACAGCAGGAGAAATGTTAGCATGCTGTATGAATAACAGCGCTTCGTTAAATTTATCTGTCGGTATTTAACGACATTTAAGGATACACCGTTATCGTTTACATGTAGCGGAAAAGGAAGTTTGCAGAGAACTTTTTTTCCAAGGGGAAGTTTACAGGACATAATTTGGTTGCCATGTAAAATTATTTTACATCGCTGGTATGTTCAACTTCGGGAGCTCGGCAGCGAGACTAGTTGTAGGGTGTACTAATGGTAGTGCCCTCAAATACACACTCCAAGCTAATACTCAATAGTTAAATGGTCCAAGTCCTTCGCACAAAGTTCTCTATTTCTATGGTACTGCACGGTTGAATGGGAAATACATTCAAAAATTTAACAGCAAGTTTTATTTAAGAATTTCTATACGGTAAGATTTTGAAAGCGGATCCAAATATGTAGATGTGCCAAACTATAGTTGAACACTGGCAGCAATTATTTTGTGACTGTCTGGCCTTCAGAAGTTAAGTAAGATTGAATACATAGTCCGCTCCATCATCAACATCCTTCGTGTATAAGGAGGAATTGGTGATTTTTAGCATATTTAAGGTCTTTCCTCGTTGGTTTGACGAATATGTATCCTTACCTCCGCTCGCGGTCTGACTGAAATGTTCTTCCAATTCCATCACTCTAACATCCTCGCGAGTGCCAATAATAGTATTCGTCATCACTACCAACATGTTATCCGATAATCTTTCTCTACGTCTCCTATAAGAATACTGTCCTTGAATACCTCGAAAAAGCTTGTCTTAGCCTGTCTAGACCGGGTTTTCTGCTTCTTTAGCAGAGGTTTTGGTTCCTCTTCCAACCTTTGATTTAAGAATCTGGCCCTTTCGAAGTCAACTCAAAATTTTGTAGTTAATATAAATTTTCGGGCAAAGCCGATGCGATAAAAATTACAATAATTACTTCTACAGTGTAAAAGGGGATTCGTCGAAGTTAACAGACAACTATTAGCAACAACAACAACAACAACAAATTACCACTACTGTACTTACTTCAGGTGTCATGCCATCAACATTCTACAAGAATTTTTGAAAACTCAATTTCCTTGCAACACATCAACAACAACACAGCAAAAGACATTTGCATGACAAGTTAACGGCGCGCGACCGCGGTTACCAAGGAAGGAAAGTAAAGAAAAGCAAGTATGCTGAAGAGGACAGTAACATGATGAAGGACAACAAAAATACAACAACAACGGCAGCTGGAAAAGTGTAAGCAAATCGCTGGAAAAAAGTCAAATCCAAAAAAAAAAAAAAATGCGAAAATCTTAAAGTTTTTGAATTACCAAAGTACAGAGCGAGAAAATATGGCATATATACATACATACATATACATTTAGCAATGTATATATGAATGTGTGCAGTGACAAGCTCTAGCTTATTGCATTATTTTAACGAAACACTCTTCCTGTGATGCAGTCACAAAACCGAAATATTATATATAGTAAGTGTCAAGCCAAAGCTGGCAGCACTTGTCGCGTTGCAGGTAATACTGTAAAATGAAGGGTTCATGAAATTGCAACCCTGCCATTTGTTTGAAGTATTGCAAAAATATGCGTTGACGGAATTATACGGAAAAAGTTGCAAAGCCAATTTTTTGACATTTATGTGAATGGAAGGAGTAGGATATAGTGGATTAGAGCTGAGAAAGATTTACAAAGAAAGAGGTGGAGCAGAGGGATTATAACAAATTTTTGTGTGAGCTGATTGACTTAAAAGGATGAAGAGACTATTTTTCTTGCTCTCTAACATATTTCCATAGCAATTTTTGCCAGCTTGAAGACAAGGTATGGCACTCGCTACCGAATTCCGTGAGGAGGGTTCGATTATAAACAACAAAACTGGGTACGTAAAAAACCAAAGCTACAGCAGATTCTTTGCAAGCGGATAGAAAAAAAATCTCCGCACCCGCAACAGAAGTCAATAGAGAGGCCAGAGAGTGTCCGGTTATTAAGCCGGTTGTTGTATTCGTGGAGGTTCTGTTTGGAAGAAGTAGAGACTCTAAATCGATTAATGCCCAGATCTGCCTGGTTGCATTGCATTTGGCTTCACAACAGGACCTTGCTAGAAAACGCCTAAATCGTCAGTTCCGAAATTTCCCGGCATGTCTCTTTGATTGTTTCGCAAACAGTCGTGAGTTTGTTTGAGATTTCCCCACATCTTATTGCCACCTTTGAGGAAGTGTGATTATAATGAAAGAGATTTATTGGGAGATTGGCTGTCAGAATATATTGTGATAGGCTGAGATACTTTACTATGGTTGTGTAACCCTGAAGCGGCTTCCATTACCATAGTTAGTTTAGCTTGGAAGAAGGTGTAGTAGTGGGGCAGTGGGAGTCTCTCGCTCATGTCGACTAAATGTGGTTCCGAGTGAAAACCGCAGCCCAACCTGTCAATGAAGATGAATACGAATCTTTGATCCAAAATTGTTCATTCCACATTTGAAGTTTTATTGAGAAAGTGCTGTCAAAACATCTGTCTGTCGAGAGAAAATTAAAGGGAGTTTCAAGTCCTAACAACCTCAGGTTGGTCTTAACTGCTTCTCTTGGAGTAGAGAGCGAGTTGAGCATAGATCAGTCTATGAAAAACGCTTCGCGGAGGCTTCTACGTAGTTTTAGAGCTGTGTAGAGATGACTCTATGGAACTAATTGCCGCTGGCGATGAAAAATAATAAGGAATAAGCTTCTTTAGCCACGCCTTAGGAAACACATGTTCATGAACTTGTGAATTTTTGAACTCTTGCTACTATTATTTGATCTCAAATTAAATGTTGAGGGATGAAAATTTGAAAAAAATATATATATATACTCAACGAGGCGGCAATAGAATTTTCGAATTTAAAAAACCTTTAATTTCATCTAAATTTGCAGCGCTTTAAAGGGAGTAAAAGCTTAAAGACTTTAATATAATCATGTAGAATGTGTGTACTCGCACGCACACATGCTCAGCTTAAAAGCTATTTTTTTTTGTACTGAAATTTGCAGCTTTAATTTGCAGCTGTGTGGCGCTGCTGTTTTGCGGTTTTCATGCTTTTTACAACACACTTTATTGCTTGTTGCATACACGCATACTCACATACATTTTTAAAAGTAGTGTACATATACGAGCGTACGAATATGTGAGGATATGCAGTTAGAGAAATGTGAAAATTTTCAGTTCGTGTCCGAATAATTACGAAATTAAAGCGGAGTTCATGTAATTGCAGCAAGGAAGCGAGAGTGAGTGAAAGAAACAATACAAAGGATGTTGCAAGTTTGGAAAAATCAAATAAAAAAACATATAAACAAACAAACAAACAAACAGACAGAGCGATAAAAAAGCCAGCAAAAATACAAAAGAGAGAAACAAAAATGCTTACATTTTTGCATGCAATAAGCTGTTTGTATGGAAATGTGTATGTATGTATATGTATACTGCTGGCGCACTAGTTGCACGTTGCATGCTGTTTTACACACACTTTGGCTCTAACTTCGGGAATTTTACGCTTTCTATCTAACTATCCGTCCGCATGTACATATCTGCTTGTTGCCTTTCCGCTCGACCAAAACGCTCGCTAGATAGCTTGTGGTTGTTTCTATTATAGTTGCACTGCTATGACGATTTATTATTGCACAAGCCAGGGACCACTTGTAAAAGCAATGACAGAAGCAGCAGCAGCAGCAGCAGCAGCAGCAGCAGCAGCAGCAGCAGCAGCAGCAGCAGCAGCAGCAGCAGCATAAAGCAATATAATGCCAGCGGCTAACTCTACTGCGAATATACACACAACCATACATATGTGAGTATGTATGCATATGAGTATGACTGTCTGTATGTGCCCCAATATGCATACATATACTCTCGTCCCTGCCGGCTTCAAGGTAGCATTATGAAATTTAATTTTTCCTTCTTAACATTTATTTCTACAGCTAAAATGCAAGTGGTTCGCTTTGTAGATGGCAAAGGTATGCTTGTATGCACGTATGTATATGTGTAAGTACATACATATATATTGTGTTTGTTTCTGTCCCCTGTGGCATGCCACTTCATATGCGGCAACACTTCACAGCATGCGTTTGCTATTGTTGTGGCGCTATGCCTTGTATGTGCAAGCGCTTGTCGACACACACACACACATATATTTATGTGCTCACCGACACATACACAGATGTATCCTTGAATGCATTGAATTTGTCTTCTTTGTCACTTAAATCGAAGTTAATTTGCAGGGCTGACTGGCTGGCTGTTTGGCTGGCTGTTTGGCTGGCTGTTTGGCTGTACTGTCCTGTTCGTTGCCTTGGTCACTTTTGCCTGCAACTCCTTGCAACCTCTCTAACACACACTACCTCTCTCTCACTCTTATATTCTCTGCGCTGTGAACATATATCTCGTTTGCTTCATGCACTGACATTCAGGCTTCGTTCTTTGTTGTTTTTTTATTTGTTTGTAGTTGTTATTGCATTGTCTACTTTCATTGTGTGTGTGTGTGTGTGTGTGTGTGAATTTTGTTGACAATTTGTAATTAATTTTTCGTACCACCCGCCACAAGTTGCATGCAATTTTGTTGCCTCATCACCACACCCTCCCACCTCTAGTGGCCTCTAGTTTCAAGTGGTTATTCTTCTTATTGTTCTATCTCTTTGTTTTTGCATGTTGCATGTTGTGTTCTGGGCAATTTTTTTATAAGGAATTTTTGTTGTTTTCCCCATATGCGTACATACTGACACTTAAAGTTTATGAGGAAAAAATTGTGATGTTTAAATAAGTTTGTCTGAAAGCAATGGGTCAAGTGGAGACAATCTCAAAACAAAAAAAAAAAGTAATAATTAAATTATCTCATTTATTAAAACTGCTTCTGGCGAAAAATATACTTTTCAAGTTGAGACGCTTAATAATTTTACCGCGCTCGCAGCAAAAACTTGTGCTCACGTCATAGATGACCTACGCTAATAACAGCCTAAAAGATTACTGTTAACTGCAAATTTAACAGACTTTAAAATCTCAATGCCAACACAGCCTGGGCTATTTTTGGATCAGTGAAAACTTCAAATGATTTCAGACATTCATATGTAAGTAGGTGCCAATCAGTCAGCGGAAAATCGAGTCTTTGGTTCAAAATACTCCTTTTTCGTTACTTAACTTCGTTGTTTGGTGGTAGCTGGAAATAGCAAGGGAAACCCCCTGATTATTCCCACGTAGTGAAGGTCTTCCACTGCTTCCACCAGTGGGCACTGCATCGAATAGCCGTTGTAGTCATTGCCTAACTCGTACAACTCATAGTTCCATCATCTGCGGATTTCGTCTTTGCCAATGTGAAAAGGATCACAAATACACAAACCTCTTAATCTACATCGTCGGTTTGAAGATATTGAAATCTCTCTTACTTTGCGCCTATCTAGCTCAGCGGCCGTCTTCCGGACGGATGTAGTAACTATAGGAAAGGCCAATTGAGCTCTTCGGAATAACTATTATTGCGGGTCTTTTCGATCCCAATAGTAAACTCCGGCGACATAAACAACTGTAGAAAAACGCTAAGCACAAGTCGAGAGAGAGCAGCTCTTAACATATGCGAAGCGGCGTTAATAGCACGTCCATTCCACGCGCCACTTGCAATTTGAGTAAGTTGTACGAAACAGATATCAAGTAGGATGAGAAAATAACAAAAAGTTTGATTTTGGAAAAGTGTGATTGCTTGGCCTATTGAGGAATCCCCGACCCAATTTACTAAAATCATCACGAGGTACTTTTCTCAAGCTTTGCCTAAGTCTTCGGCCCTTAAGGCAGCGCTTATATAACATTTACTTTCGCTGCGTATAATTTTGAAATCGAAAGCCAATAACTCAATTCGAAATCATGCGACAGTG